GAGAGAGAGAGAGAGAGAGAGAGAGAGAGAGAGAGAGAGAGAGAGAGAGAGAGAGAGTATTTCGGGCCTGTTAGCGCCCAGAATCTGGATTTGATATTTCTGGGAGATGATTGTTGGACATTGATGGGGAAGAGAAATTTTGGCTACTTCGGGCTATTCTTCTTGTCTGCTCCCCCTCCTCCATCATCTCTTCTCTCCTAGATCAACCGTGCTTTTTCTCTCATGTGTGTGCGCAAGGAGGGATCTTTCTTCTATGTATGCCTCCCTCCTTGCTATCTGACATGTGTGGTGATGTCAATATGTCTTCTGAGTCTTCCTTTGCTAAATTGCTTGTTTTATGGGATTCACATTTCTTCTTGTCATTCACATTTGCTTGTCCCGAGTCCTTCACTTCACATTGGTGATCTGTTGGGTATGCTCATTGCCGATCTGTTGATAGCATACTTTTAGCCTGGAAGCAAGTTCTCGGGCCCCGGGAAACTCGGCAGTCAGGCCCTACCCGGGCTCAGAAGTCAAAGAGTCAAAGATCGCTCCAGAAACAATTTCGTCCATATATCAGACACATCCAAGGTCCCGGTAAAGTTTCGGGATGCATCCATCCCTACTGGGTCAATGGTGGCCTCCGACGGGAGCTGCATGGCAGTCGCTCATAGGACTTAATCTCAGCGATCGTGTGGGGCCCAGCTAGGGTGGTTAGAGCCATCTATTCTTGCTCCCCGTCCACTCGAGGCAGCCCCACCTTGCGCTGGAGCTTTATGTTTGCCAGGCTGAATTGCTGCCGTCTGTGACGAGGGAGAGAGAGAGTCTAGGCTGGCAGCCGTAGATAGAGGTAGCAGAGTGAACAGCTATAGCTGGTTGCGGTGAAGTAGGAAACGAGAGAGATTGCAAGAGGAATCTAATGAGAGAGTAGATGCCTCAGGGAAGAAGAAGCTCACCTGGTGACTGGCAGCCATAGCCACATGAAAAAGCCTTCATGAAGCTGGTGCCGGAGACCAGCATTCTTCACCCAAGGCGTATCCTGTTGGTCCAGACCTTCGGGTGGGGAGGGAGACTAGGGAGTCCAAGGGGGACGGAGAGAGATAGTGGCTGAGTAGCTTACGAGGTGGACGCTGACATAGAGATAGCGACTACGTAGCTCATGAGGTGGAAGCTGCCATACCCATTATGGGGGGAGGTGGTATTGAAGCAGACTCCAAGGGTTACAAGTGATCAGCATTGTTCATAGAGTACTTCATTCTGCTGGCGCTGGAACTCAGGGAGGTCTGGTGGGAGAGTGGCCAGCTGACCGAGTGGTGGAGGGGCTAGAGAGATTGAAGAGGAGGGTCTGCGGTAACCGGGGCTGACTGATCTGAGGGGAAGAGAGTTTGACTCTGGAGGAGAACTGGAGTATGAGATGACATTGAAACTCTTATTGTTGCAATTTTATGAAGAGTTGCTCATTTCGTTCCAGTTCATTCTCTTCTGGTGTTGACACGTTCTTATTTGCTGCTTCATTGATTGATTGGTTTGCCCTAGACTTGATTGACATTGTTGTGGACGTGATTGAAGCTTCTGTGTTCAATGGGTTTCATAGCACCGTATCGATTCTATCGAATACACTCTGCGATTCTTCATCTTACTGGACAGCATGTCACTTACGCTTCGCAAACTCGAGGATAACATTCAGCTATATTCTGATCTGATGTCCACACGTACCTCTGCCTATCTCTGGCTACCTCTGCACAGCCCTGCCTAATTCTGACTACCTCCGCCGACCTCTTCCTACGTCTCGTTTTACCAGCATCGGATGGATGGGAGCATGAAAAGGTGTCTAGCTATAAAGGTGGATTTGGACCAGAGTCTCTTCTCTTTACGTAGTCCATCAAGCCAGGTGCCTACCTAAGGCTTGTTATGACCCACAATCCTTGTGTTCTAAATGTCAAAATGACGGAAAGGACCAGGTCATGCTGCCTGCTGTCATACACTCGGAGTCGGGGCTGTCTGATCACCTCTGTGAAGCGGTATCATGGAGGAGTCGCTGACTGCAAGAACTTTGTGTCGGAAGTCTGCCACCGAACACTGTGTACATGTTGGCAAGAAGTACTTGCTCGTGTTGTCCCTCTTGCGCCATTCATTGCAGCTGTGGGCCTTACTCTGACATTAACAGTGAAGATCAGAAGTGTTTTTTCTTCTTTTTCTGATGTTGGAAGGCAACCATGAGAGGTCACATGGTGGACCATGAATTTGTTGGAGTGTGTCTGGCAGGTTTTCTAACTGTAACAAATGCAGCACCTCACAAACAGAAGAAACGGCTGCCACCATCCCTAGCTATGAAGCTGTGGCCGTTGCTTTCTTTCTCTGGCAGCTTTGGCTAGCATCTCTACGTGCGGCCACATATTACTGATTGATGTGTCTACTTTTGTGCCAAGTCAGGCGTTTGCTGGTGTTTGTGGAGACAGGGACGAAATGAAAGAAACAGAAAGAACAGAAAAGGAAAAAGTGCGCGATCGATAAGGGAAAGATTTTTAGAATAAAAATAAAAAGAAAAGGAAAAAGTGCAAAAAAAGGAAGTGAAAGAAAAGCTAGAGAGAGAAAAGATGGAAGTAGGTGCCATCATTCGTTTTGTCTGCTCTGTCTCTGTTCTTTATTCGTTTTCACTTGTGCATTCTGGTCCAATATGTGTGGGCAATGTTTACTGTGTATGTATTTAGAATGTGTAAACCCACATGATGGTAATCCCTACCTCCGTACCTACTTCCAACACTTCCCAGTCATGTCAAATGGCCCAGCAGTACCTTCGTTCCTGCCTCCAACACTTCCAGTCAGGTCAGATGGTCCAGCATTACTGGACCAAACCAGGTCCAGACCGGTCCGGACCATCTCCAAATTGAACAATAGGGCATAACTGGAATTTGTGAGTGTACAAGTCTCTCTGGAAAGGTTTATGAGCTCTAGGTCTACCTGCACTGCAGTGGAATTGAGGGTCTGGCCAAAGCAATATAGAAGAGAAAAAGAAGGGCAGCAGCATGTCGGATGGAGAATGATGCAGTTGAAGCTACACCTTGCTGCAGTGGTAATCATGTCTTCTTTAGTGCAACCTCGGGTGGGAATTATTGTGGATGGAAGCGGGTAAGATGGGTAGAAGCGCGATGGAGCAGTATATGGTAGGGAATACCCTTTCTTTGTGCTGTCCTGGTTCAGGCGTCCTCCTGCCTGCCAGTAGAGGACGGGTGTGAGCGTTTACCATGCTCCCCAGCCGCCGTCTCCATGGTGGAGGGCGGAGTTACGATGGGTAATTTTCCCAGGCCCAGAAAGGCTCTGGCAAATATGGAGGTGCTTAAACTACCACTACCTCCAAGCCTCTTTTTGCCGAGGTGGATGGGGTGCCGCCTGCCATCGGGGTCTGATAGCCCCTAGCCTCCGAAGAACCAGGAATGCTTCATTTTCCATTCTCGAGGTTGCCTGGGAAAGTTAGTGGTGGTTTAATGGCTCTGAGTTTCCCCTGAAGATTCCTACAAGTTCAGAAGCATGAACTTGTCAATCACGGCCCTTTGCAGCATCTACTTCCTGTTTTGTGTCAAAACCAGGTCTAGACTTGAGGATATTGATCACTGTGACCATCCAGATGCAACCTGGATCATTGCGTTTCCTCTCTCATTTTCTTTTTTCCTTTTTGAAGGGGGTAGCCCCTCACGTTATCTCCTATCGTCTCAGGATTTTAACTCATGATCGGTTCATCAACTGTGACGATGTGTGTACCATTCAGCTGCATGGGCTGGGTACATCACTCTTCCCTTGCTGTTCTAGACAGCTTTGTTTTCTCTTCATCGGCCCTCCAGTGACTGCATGTTGTGTTCCTCCCCAAGGATGAGCAGCGTCTAGCAAGGAGCAAGACATGAAATCTGGTGACTCACTGGGATGGTTTTCTCTTTCTTTTCTTGTTCTTTCTGCTGTGCTTTGTTTCCATGCTTTCCTGCAGGTTGTGATTGTTCCAATCTGGAAGAAGGATGAGGAGAAGGAGGTGGTCCTGTCGGTTGGACGGCAAGTGGAGGGAATTCTGAAACAGGCAGGGGTTAGGGCCATGTTGGATGCGTCGGAACAGCGGACGCCGGGCTGGAAGTTCAATTTTTGGGAGATGAAGGTAGGTATAATGATTAGTAATCAATTGCCACTTATGTTGCTAGTAAGTAATTTGACTGCTCTTGAATGTGTTTGGTCTTGCACTTGGGCCAGGGCAGCTGTTACCGCCTCCCCCTCTTGGCCTTCTGACCTTCCTTGGGCCTACAACTGCTGTTTTTTTGGCAGGAATGATGTTTCTGTAGCTCAGTCTGCTCTGCCACACGGACCTGGACTCATCTTACCCTGAAACATGTCCAGGTTTGTCCCGTATGCTACCATCTTCTTCCCCCAAATATAGCGTACGTAATACGTATGCTATGTATGAAGACAACGTACAGGGTAATTTGTATTCGAATATAACACACCGTACACTATATTCAAAGTATAGGTACCAAGTTCCACAAGAACCACCCTAACAAATAACTAAAAAAATATGTATTACATAATACATATCCTGTCATATCGTTCTTTGTTTTGTCTTCTCCCCATCTCTCTTCCATGTGTTTATCCCCTCCCGGCTTACTCTGGGCCGTTATGGCGCACGGGGATGCGGGCAGCTCACGCTCAACTTCATCAATGCGGCGAGCCTTGTACGTGAGAGGCACGGTGAAGGGGAAGTTAAAAGAAGAGGGGAGAAAAATGAATGGTTTCAGTATGCTCTTCATGTTTGTCTAATGTATTTTTATCGTTTGTTTTGCGAACTGCGCTCTTTTAGTTCATGGATATGTGATGATATAACCGTCGGCAGAGAGGGATAGGAGGACAACAAACGAGGGGCTGTGACAGACTGTTTTATTGGAGTTCCGCGACTCCCCTGGAGGCTGAACCCTCGACAGTCTACAGAGTCCCCCATTCCGATGAACTAAGTGACAATCCACCTTAACCCCGGTTGCAGTTAAGCATCAACGACTGCCCGATAACTGATACCCTGAGGTGGTTTAAGCCATATAGATCACAACTGACTGTTCAGCTGTCCGGTCAACCATCCCTTCGGGCCTATCCTTCTCCTCCTCATCCATCCATCCATCCATCCATCCATCCATCCATCCATCCATCCATCCATCTCTCCATCCATCCCTCCCTCCCTCCCTCCCTCCCTCCCTCCCTCCCTCCCTGTCTGTTGGAAAATGCATCTGCCCATCCAGCCATCCCCGGTGTCAAGTTACCCTGTGTCCCTTGCATTAATAAGTCGGCAATGGTGTGGGAATTTTGTCCTTCCTACCACCGTCGATTGGGTGCGCCTTGTCTGCCCTGTGGGAAATACATTAGAGAGACACATGCCTTAACCTCTTGTGTGAAGGCATTGCTTTAAGCTGAAGCTCGAGTGTGGATTGATCTCAACCTGGTGAAAGAAAAGGAGGTTAGGCTGGTAGATCGAAAGAAAAGGAGGTTGGGAAGGTAGAACGAAAGAAAATGGACGGTAGGCAGGTATATTGCAAGGAAAGGGGCCAAAAGGGTGGGGTTAGGCAGGTAGATCGAAAGAAAACGAAGGAAGGAGAGAAAGATCGAAAGAAAAAGGAAGAGAGGAGAGGGAGATCGAAAGAAAGGAAGGTTGGAAGTGAGGGAGATCCTAAGAAAAGGAAGGTCGACAAGGAGATCGAAAGAAAAGGAAGGTCGGAGTACAAGTAGATTGAAATGGTATGGTGCGCTGGGTGCCCCACTGGATTTTTTTTTCTTTTTTTTTCTTTTCTTTTTGGTGGGGAGTGGGGGGCGGAGGCGGG